AGTTCATGTTATTTCATCACATTTTCCTTAGATTCTAGTCCATTTTAGTGTAATTGTATATGTTTTTATTGCCCAATTTAGGAAAATGTGCATTTTGTTTTGGGCTTGTGTTCTTGGCTTTAATTTGATATTTTTAGCCTAATTTCATGTTATTTTGATTGAAGTTTTGATTAGAAGCATTTCTGGAGCTTTGTGGATGTTTTTGGAAGGCTTTTGGATGAAGAAATCAAGAGCAAAATGAATGATTTTCGTTAGCTGTAAAAACAGTGTAAAACTGCCAAAGTCGTCCCAAAGTCGTGACTTTCGTTCGCAACTTTCACCGCTGTTAGAAAAATGCTGTGTTTCATTTATCAGAAATTAGTTGGCTAGGATACATATAAGCTGAGAGCTCGACCCAGAATGCATTCTTCAGACTTTTAGACACTTTTAGAGCTTGGTTGTGCTAGGGTTTGGGCATTGGAAGAGTTGGAATCAAGAGATTGAAGCTTTGAAGACATTTAGAGCTCATTTTTTTTGGTTTTTCTATTCCTCTTCCCTTTCCTCTCTTGTAATCTGAAATGGGTCCACTTATTTTGTATATTGGTAGCTTGTGGATGATTATGAGTAGCTAAACCCTTTGTTCTAGGATTATTTGGAACCCTTGTATGGATTAACACTATATTTCTCCTCTCTTTTTGTGATTAATGATATATATGTGTTTATTTTACTCTTTCCTTAATGCTTCTACTTGATTGGCCACCATTTAGATGTTGGGTTCACTTAATTGATGCTTGAGAGGGCTAGGTTGAGTGTAGAACTTGAGTAAAATTGTGTAAAAACTTGATATTTGCATGTTGAATGGATGGTTTTGCTAGTAAGATAGAGATATACTTGCTAGCCTTACATAGCCATATTAGGGTTGGTGTTTGAAATTGAGTTTTATTAATTGTAACAAGAGATTGTGCAATCAATTTAACTAAACACTTGTTCATGACTTGAGAGAGCTTGTCCAAGTATTTTTAAAACCCTAGGTTAGCACTTATTTTCATTAAAAGCATTTATGAGAGGAGGTAATTTTGGTGTTATGAAATGCAAGGGGGACAATTAATCCTAGGTCCTAAATTGTGTTAGAAGTTTGTGAATTACTCACTTTTCTTTATTTTCTAGTGTTAGTTTCATTTGAAAAATCATTTTCACCTAACTTTTTGTAGCTCAACTTGATCGAATTTATTTAGTCTTTTGCTTAATCATTGTTTTTGAACAAATCCTTGAGGGAACGATACTTTACTTTCATTATATTACTTGCTACGACCCGTGCACTTGCGGTGAGCAACAGGCTGTGGTAGACAGAATAACTCCTTAACCTTCATCACATTCTGCTACCTCCTGGGCCACCTCTTGAGCAACTTGAACTGGGTCTATGGGTATTGGCATAGGAGTGGCAACGGCTTGGAAAGGGATCATTTAGAGATTGGGGTACTGGGTCTCCTTCTCCCTTTGTTGAATCGGACTTACTTTGCCATCATCGGAGTCTACTGACAAGATCATCTTCCGTTGGCACTTATATGTGTGCCTCTCCTTTTAAGGTGTAGGGCCAATCTGGAGGGGGTAGAGGCAGGTTGGTCAAGCAGCGGGGGCGTCGTCTTCTTTCTCCTCTTAGCCTCAGGAGAGAGAGACAGAGCTCGCTTCCTCTTGTCTGGAATATCTCCTCAGTTAGGATGACTGGAAGAACTCTTCTTGGTCCTGAACTTTTTAGAGATTGGAGGAACAAAAATTTAGGAGGAAGCGTCGTCTTACTCCATCCTCTAGACCACGGTCCTCATGGAAGGGGCTGTCGAGGTCTTGGAAATGGCGAGGGCATCAATGTTGTCCCTTAAAAAGGTCACCAGCGCATGGGACTGTGTCCAATCACGGCCTACACAAAACAAGACAGGTTTAATCTTAGAAAACAAAATGAAAAGGATAAAACCAAGACAGATACGAAGGAAATACTTATTGGTATGGCTCTTTATTATGCGCCTGAAGCGCTAGGGCTACCATTTGTTAAAGCGAAGACAGGCATCTTTATCTACAAGTTCTACCTTACACTGCCTCTGGGTGGTAAGTGGGATGGCTATCTGATTAATAGCCTCCCAGCCCAATAGCTCCACGCTAATTTGGGAGGACAGGCCCTGTGAGATACACTGGCTCAGTCTAAATTGGCCCGCCACCAGTTGAGGATGATAAGACTCCAAGTATACTTTAAGAGACTTGGAGGAAGAGCCAGATGGCAGCTATATCTTTCGGGGAGTGGTGGCTGAGAGGAAGACCTCGTCCCTTAGAGGGTTGGTGGGCTTGTTCTTCTTCTCTACCATATACTTGTACCAGGTGGGAAGGCGATGGTTAGGGATGTTGAGAGCTTTTAAGGTCCTCCTAAAGGACCAGCTTTACTGACAGAAAAACTCAAAGAAATTCTTCAACTCTACCAGCGGATGACTACCTAAGAGACAAGTGAAGGGTTGGTTGGCACAGGAATCATTCGGGAAGGGCTCCTGTCGAAGGTTGGGGAAGTAAGCCATCATCTACAGCTTTAAAAACCAGACAGGCCCATGAAATTTGTTGAAGGGCTTCTTAAGCAGCGACTCCCTCATGCTGTCAAAGAGATGACATAAGAACATAGTCCCCAAGGCTATTTAGTTGCCACAAAGTAGGGACTGGGCGATCCTTAAATGCAAATGCACGGGCTTCCCTCCCCCTGGGGCTAGGATCCATTGACTTAGTAGGATCCAGATGAATACCAGGTGCTCCATGGTAGTGACAGGCTCGGAGGCTGGCTTTTCAGAGAACAGTTCCATAATCTTTACATAAGAGCTCGCGTTTGTGATGCTATTCTCTAAATCAGCAGGAAGAGTGGTATAGGAGTCGTGCTTCTCGAGGATTGCATAGAAGTTCTCCTCCTCGGTGATAGGTATCCCTAGGAACATGAAGACGTCCCATAGCATAAGGGATATCGGGCTGAGCTTAAAGATGAAAGTATTGCAACTCGAAGCCCAAAAGCTGAGGAGAGCCGTCAGAAGGTCCATGGGGACGTCAACATCAGCTAGAGACAATTGAATCAGGTCGTATAGACCCATCTCCTTCCACTGAGGTGCATGATCTAACTTCAAACGCTTCACCTAGTTGACCTAAGCACGAGGGGACTGGGGCCAGTTCTTGAGCTTTTTGCAAGATGACTCGAGGAAGGGCAAAGTTGTCTGGGCTAAAACCAGATTGTGAAGAGAGGTCAGTGGCCATGGATTCGACTGCGTAGGGGCATTGACGTCAGATAGGTCGGGAGAAATTGTCAAGTACCCAACGTCGCTTTTATTGGAGATTTGGAAACTCTAAGGCGAAGTGCTAGACAAAAAAAAAAGCACAATTAGAGCACTTTTTAATAAAATAGAAGGGCTAGACACGAGAAGCGAGAAACTTACTAGAAAGCCACTGATTCGTGGAATGACAAACCCTCCTGAAAAGAAATGAACGAGAATTAGGATAGGAAACCAGTCTAATGGAAAAAAGGATTTTTCCAGACCACGAAATACATACTGTCACAAGCCCGCCTAATTAGTTCACCGAGTTTCGGATAGTTGCCAGAGAATCTAGTAGACTACCAGTGGAAGTAAAAGAAGGTGCAGTGGCAGAAGAAGCAGATGAAGCCATTTAAGAATTAAGGTAGGAAAACTTTTAGTAGACTGAAGACTTGAAGTTTAAGAAACGGCAAAGAAAGCAAGAGAAGTGACCAGAGTCAGGAAACAAGTTTATATTGGCAGAGGGCGCTCAGAAATGAAGCAACATTTTGATTTTTTCAAACGTGCCATGTGGCTTATGTTACTAGCCATTGGCACGCAGGGGGCAATGTTTGGGCTAAATATGAAACGTCGTTCAAATAGGTCACAAGGCTAGTTGAGCTAAATAATTGAAACGTCAGGCCCAATATAAACTAAAGAGGCCAGCCCCGAAACTCAATAAAGTCCACCACAAATAAACATGCCGAAATCTCATCAGCTTCAAATATTAGACTATTGGCACGAAGACACAATCCTAAGTGATGCCAAAATCGACGCCTAAGTAGTTCGGTGAAACATGCTGTTTTTCAAAATGGAGAGACCATGCCATAAGTTTCACGAGATTCTTGATTCTTCGGTAAAACGTGCCAAGTCTCACAGAAAAGGCTTCTGCTATCAGACATTATAAATAGAAAGAAGAAAAACAGAGAAATCCAGTCAATACTCGATCAAGACTCGCATAATTTATATTTACTAGCCCTTTTTAGTTCTTAGTTTTTTAGTCTGTAATTTTCAAATACTTCAATAAAATTACACACTTATTCTATCAAAGCCTACTATCTTTTTACATCCGAACAAACTGTGGTAAGGGAACTCGGGACCCTTTCGTAGTCTATTGAGACCTAACATTTCTGGTACGCCTGATATTTGTTGTTCAACCACGAACGAAGATATATTATATTGTTTTTAAAAGTTAAGGAGGAATATTGTACTAAAAATAAATTTAGATCTTCGACGCTTCTAGATATATAATTTAAAAGCTAATTTACTCTTTTATCCTATATAATGCATAGAGCATTTAAAGTAGTTGGAATTTAAATAATACCATTTTTTTCATAAGTTTTCTTTTCCATTTTATCTACCATTAATTTATATATCTTTAGAAAAATGGAATCAGAATTTGTTCAGATGTTTTAAGTATTTTCAAAGGCATTTTGAAGAAAATATGATACTAAAAAACCTTTCAAATTGTGCCTTGTTTTTTAACTCTTCAATAGTGACAAATTAATTTGACTAAAATAATTATATGTTTCATTATGCACATGACAACACGAAGCTGCCTAATGTAACTATAGTCTTTTCAGCGGAAAGGATAATTAAGTTATTTTAATTAATGTATCAATTAATAATGAAAACACATTTTTTGTCATGAATATTGTAATGATTTTTTCAAATAATATAAATAACATTTTTTGAGGGGAAAACCGAAGAGCCGTCTGCCTTATCCTTGGAAGGGTGAAGCCTCCATTGCTTTCACATCTTCTTCCTTACTCTGACGTGCCAGCAGCTTCCAGTCTTCAAGCAAGCGGTAATCGCCAAACAGATTGAACGCAGAGTCACAATTCACAAATAAGGGATTCTTCAATTTTAATCTCACTTTCCTTCTAATCAAATCCACACATTCTAATTGCTTCTGCGGCGGCAGCACCACTGCGCAGCCATGCCCCTGTTCAAAACTCCGTTCAACGGTTACTCCGTCAAGTTCAGTCCTTTCTACGAGAACCGCGTCGCCGTCGCCACCGCCCAGAACTTCGGCATCCTCGGAAATGGTCGCATTCACGTCCTTGACCTCTCGCCAAATCCCGGCATGCCCATCTCTGAGATGGCAGCCTACGACACAGCTGACGGCGTGTACGACGTTGCTTGGTCGGAATCTCACGATTCGCTCCTCGTTGCTGCCATAGCCGATGGTTCCGTCAAGCTCTATGACCTCGCTCTCCCACCTACATCCAATCCCATTCGTTCCTTTCACGAGCATACACGAGAAGTCCACTCCGCCGATTACAATCCAGTGCGACGCGATTCCTTCTTGACTTCGTCTTGGGACGATACTGTTAAGCTCTGGACTATGGATCGACCTACTAGTGTAAGAACCTTCAAAGAGCACGCTTACTGTGTCTATTCCTCGGTTTGGAACCCTCGACACAGTGATGTTTTTGCTTCTGCTTCTGGGGATTGTACGGTGCGGATCTGGGATGTGCGGGAACCAGGTTCGACCATGATACTTCCGGCTCACGAATTCGAGATTCTGGCTTGTGATTGGAACAAGTATGATGATTGTATTCTGGCGACGGCTTCGGTGGATAAATCAATCAAGGTGTGGGATGTCAGGAACTCCCGTGTTCCGATTACGGTGCTGAATGGGCATGGCTATGCGGTGAGGAGAATAAAGTTCTCGCCTCATATGCGGAATTTGATGGTTTCTTGTTCGTATGACATGACAGTGTGCATGTGGGATTTCATGGTGGAGGATGCACTTGTGAGTAGATATGATCATCATACTGAGTTTGCCGTTGGTGTGGATATGAGCGTGCTTGTTGAGGGGCTTATGGCGAGTACAGGATGGGATGAGCTTGTTTATGTGTGGCAGCATGGAACAGACCCGAGAGCGCCTTGAAGGGAAGCATTCTTTCGTTTTGTTTAGTTTAGTTCCATTTTCTTTTCTACTACCTGATTTTCATTTCTCATGTTAGAGTTTCATAGTTGTGAAATTTTAGTACACACTTTGGCATTAAAGTGGGTCTCATCTTATGTTGTTTCTGTTCTTAAGAGGAACAAGCATGCTTCCCTTTCGCTGGTCATGAGGAATGATATATGTTGAGTAATGTCTTGTATCTTAATCTATGTACCTTCGGCGTACTTGCTGCCTTCCTTCAATGAAAGGAATAATTAAGTTGCTACAATTGTTTTGTACAGAACTACTTATAATTGAATAATAGGCTTTATAAGTTTTAACTTTTATCAGGTTTACTCACAATTTCATTATTGTTCTGATCTAGCTTATAAGAGTAAAATGTTCAGAAGCTCTTTGTCCTATGTTCACTAGCTAATGCTGCTGAAAGCTCATATCAACTAAATTGTTGATGACTAACTGCTGATGCTGAATCTAAATTTTTTTATTATCACTGACTTATTTCAAATTTGGAGCCGAACCATTTTCACATCATGGCCACTTGGTACAGAATAATTGCTGCGTGCTTGTAAGTAAGCCGTGTAGCTTTATTCTTCAGGAATTAGTGAATAGGTAGATCTTCTAAGTTAATATCCTTATACTTGGCCCTAGAACAGTTTTAACGTGAGGCATTTTATACCATCATTAAAAGGATAGAGAAATTTGTTATGCACGCTCGTGCATAATCTGCCCCTAGGGAGATTTTTTACACCATGCCATCTGCCATGGAATATCAATTCTTACCTTTTTTCATGCCGGGTAAATGTTAATTATGTAGAATAAACAAGAACAATAATATCCTCCTAAATTAAAACCGTTTCCTACCTCAATAGGATGGAAATTTGGTATTTTCTTGTTTAGGTTTGACTAAATTCTCTAATTTACCCTCTACCTCAATACGCCTACCTGCTATTTTTCTAATTGGAGAAGGGAGTTCTCTCTCTGAAATCGATTTCCTTGTGTTTGATTTTATTGGTTAATTTAGGTGCGGGAGCTTTAGCATACAAGCATTGGGTAGTTGTAAATGTCACATATGTATTATGTCCCACATTGGGTGGCCTTCCTGACTTAAGATAGCATTTATACCGATTGGGTTTGGGTTTCCTCTTTTCAAGTGCTAACATGGTGCTTTTAGAGCCAACCATAGAGAAAGTGATCAATGAAGAATATAGAGTTGTAAATGCCGGCTCTGGAAGGTTTATTGTCTAATTTTTACCTCCAAATCATTTCTATTTTGCAACTTGTTAAAAAGATGCAGTGGGAACAGGTTTTAATTTGTTGGAGTCCAAGACGAACTTGATTCTTTTCACCTGATTTGTAGCTAGCTTTAAATTTCTCCCCGTTCTTAAATTGTCCCACATATGGTAAAGCTTAGATGTTGGGAAGATCCTATTACCCTCTGACCTTAATGCCGGCAGCCATGGAAGGCACCTTAAAGCTAAGCACAGACAAATGTTGACCTTGCTAAAATAAGAAAGCAACATTGAGAAATATATATATTGTGAGAGATTTTTGCAAGGCAGTGAGCATGATCTTATTCCAACAAAATAAAGTTTTTGTTTGGAAATTCCATTCTTCCTGTGTCGTTCCTTCATTTCCTCTTTCCATCTATCTTTAATCTCAACCTCTCACTTCAAGAATCATTGTGAGTGCCACCGCAAGAGTTTCCCTTGCCATCGGTTGTCTTTTTCCAGTTAGCCTCCTTTCTTGCTTTCTCTGTTCTGTCTCTGTGATAATTCTACTGGTTGATTTTCAGTTTAACTGTTACAGAAGTAAAGCAAAGTGAGAGACTACTGTTCCAAAATATGTATTTAGGCTGAAATTGCATGAATAGTAATTGAATTCTACTATCCTTCTTGTCAACGACAATGGTCTTTGTCTAGAGTGTTGATTTATCCTATTCATCTTTCTTAGTATTGTATTCAGTTCATAATTTGTCTTGCTGTTTCTGTGACCTGAACGTTAACTAAATTTATCAGTCGTCGATGCCACAGTGAAATCCCATTTTAACACAATAAAGCAAGTGGAAAATGACAATGACATCATGACTGTTCTGTTCTGTATGCTATATTACCAAATCTAAATCTTTTCTTTAACATACTTTATGGCTGTTCTGGGTGCCACATTGCTAAATCTAAATCTTTTCTTTGCTATATTTTATAGTTGCTCTGTTTCAAGAGGGGTAGAGGAAGGCCTAAGAGAACACTCTTAGAAGTTGTTGAACGCGATCTCTTAATTAATAATATTCCTAAAAGCTTGATAAATGATAGAGCACAATGGCGTCTTGCAATCCATGTAGCCGACCCCACCTAGTGGGATAAAGGCTTGTTGTTGTTGTTGTTGTTGTTGCTCTGTTTTCAGTCAGAGTTAGAGCTACTGAGTAGGATGTTGTTAATTGTTGGTTAATGCTACTACGATGTTTATTAGTAAGATTGTAAGAAAGAAATGATAGTTAATTTAATAACTATCATTTTTTTCTTATAAATAATATCAGAGTATTACTTTTGGTTGATGATACTTCCATGGTAGTCCCTGAAGTAAGTGAAAAAGGCATGTGTCCAACAATGAGATGGGTCTGAACTGTTACTACATCATAGGTTTTACTTTAGTTCCGAGGATCAGAAATGTAATTAGAATCGCTATGAATAGAACTGATCTAGGTGCTGATTGGTTCTGGCATTTTTTTTTTTCAGGAACATAACTATGTTTAGTCTTGCCGTGATCCAGTCCTATATGAAGAACAAGGAATTTGGATAAAGTTCATTTGAATTCCAAAATTATTATTCACTTCAGGGAAACTATATTAGTCTCTGGTTTTACAATGGCAGTGTTGGTAAATTTTTATCACTTTCATTTGCATCAGAGGTCCTGGTTTCTGTTGCTACATTGATCAAGTTGGTGCCATCATGTTCTCTCTTCAACAATGGGAAGTTTACTATTATTTTTTGTAGAAAAAATATTTTAACGAAAAGAAATGAGAATAACACGAAAATGTAGTCATGGGGATTTTATGCCGTAGTTTGAGTATAAATCTTTTAAAGCATAATTCAATTGAAGTGAAAAAAAAAGAACAAGATGATACGTGACTCACCTCTATTTTTGGAGATATTTCATAAGCGAATTTCAATACTATTTATTATTTTATCTAAATGTCAAAATTCTACCAGGTATTTTTAAAATTTGAAAGGTTCCTTGTGGTTGCTACATACTTTCTAACAAAAAAGAAAATAATCCAGTCAACATATCAATTTACCAAAATATGCAATAAAAGTTATAACAGAAACAAAGGAACTATACCGATGTTCCTTAAAATTGAATAATAAATCCAATATTTTGCAAAATCAACTAGTTCGTTTGATTTGATCGTAGGTAAAAATTTAACTGAATCTATAAACACATCTAAATATATGTTGACTGAATAAACATGATATCTTTTGCTTTTTTTTTTTTTTAAATAGAAATGGATACTTGATTCAACTAAACGAAACATGAAGCTACAAACAGCAGCAAACCAAAGAGCAAAGAAAAACACCTACAAAAAGCTAACAAAAACAAACCACGCCACATTATGTAGTGGGTGCAGAATCAAAAAAATTGGAATAGGTAGAAAGGCTATGACACAGTTTCGCAAGAAAACCTGCCTGCCAGATGTCCTCCCTATACAGAAAGTGAAAAGTACTATCCCATTGTATGCACAACAATCTTCTCATGGCATCAATAATGTCTTCAGAAAGATTATTATTGTGATTATCCCTTGTGATTGTCAAAAAAGCACGTGCACAATCACAAAAGACCTCCACTGTCTTGTGTTTTTTTTTTTTTTTTTGCTAGGCATAACTCTAAGCCTTTATAAATGCCATAAACTTCAGTAGACGGAACACAACCCAGCTTTTGATTGAATCCTAAGATCCAATTCCTATTCATATCTTACAAGATTCCACTGCAAGCTCCTTGTCCATTCCAAACAGTAGATCCATTGGCCTCCAACCTAATAACATTCGATTTATGTCTTTGCAAGGATTCATGAAGGTGCTGGCCCTTAGAATCGGGAACTTACTTCCTAGCTTTACATCAGCGGCAACTCTGAAAATAAAATTAAGCGGATCCTCATAAGTATCCTCATTTTGATTCTTGGAAGAGAAAGAACATATAGTCTTTCAAATATTTCGACAGGTGCATGCAAACAATAAGTTCCATGAAACAACCTGAGTGAAAAGAATTTCCAACCTGCATCTTAATATTCCAGTTCAGCCACTGCTTCCCGTCCAGGCTAAAAAAATTTTCCACCACGTCAGTTAGAACATACTTGCTCCACCATCGTTGTGCGTGACAGCAAGCAATTGCGGAAAAGATGCATCATATCCTCTACTTGGTTTGCAACGGAACTGGCATAACCCTGTTGTGGTCAGTCCTCTCCTTAGTCGAAATTCCATTGTCCAAACTTTGTCGTGTGCCATTTGCAAGAAAAGTGTCTTCATCTTCTTCGGCATTGTTCCATCTCCAGGTGTTTCGCCATATGTGATCGTTATTCTCCTCCATACTTGCAAAAAGAAAAGAGTAACAAGATTTTACAGAGTATTTTCCATGAGAAGAATAGAGTCAGATGTACTTATCCTCTCTTTTCTTCTCACTCGGAACTCTAGTGTTGATAATGAAACGGGATCCACAATATGGTTCGGTAACCACAGTAACATGAATACATCCCCACAATCCATTTTCTAAACATGAAGCGCCATCTCTGCTTTTAACTTCAGGCATCGCCCCATCACCACACTTATAATTGGTTCTCAAAACTTGGACCCACAACGCCTTCGGATTGGCAATAGCACGTAAAACAAAATATTCACCGTTTGAAACATCTATGGATGAGACACGTTTAAGCATCACAGCAAATGGAAATACCATCAAGATTAAAATATAACAAATTTTTCTTTCTTTGTGTTTTTTTTTTTTGGCTACATTTGTTATCTTGAAGCAAATCATCTATAAGGATTTAGAACATCTAAAAAAAAGTATAGGGATTATTACAAAATTTAAAAAAAATGTAAGGATCTAAAGTTATATATATATTTTTTGAAACATCTATGGATGAGACACGTTTAAGCATCACAGCAAATGGAAACACCATCAAGGTTAAAATATAACAAACTTTTCTTTCTTTGTTTTTTTTTTTTTGGGCTACATGAAGATTTCTTGTTGTCTGGAAGCAAATCATCTATAAGGATCTAGAATATCTAAAAAAGAGTGTAAAAATTATAACAAAACTCAAGCAAAATGTAAGGATATAAAATTATGTGTTTTTTTTTTGTGTTTTTTTGATAGGAAAAATTATGTTTTTGTAAATATATATATTGGAGAAGTGTTTAAGAATGGGCTCCCCACGAAGCTGGACTCAAGCCCAATCGTCACAAAATGGGCATCACTTGAAGACAGTTTTTTGGGAAATTACATATAAGTCACATGTAGTAGATTTATTTATAAATGAATGCTGTAAAATTTAGAAATCACAGCCTAATCTCTTGGAACCTGAATGTAATCCAAAGTTAGGGTGCAGAGATAATAATGCTCTTATTAAAAATATATTTTATCAGTCAAATAATTTACAACTATAACTTCAACTTTTTACATCAAATATTCAAACTTTTTTATTATTGAATATGTGAAGTTATAGTTGTAAAAAATTAAAATAGTTATAAACAATTAGTGTTAAAATTTATTAATAATGCATAATTAATTTAACTATTAGATATATAAAGTTATCATTGTAAAGAATTAAAGTGATAGTTGTAAATTATATTAATTGTTATAATGTAATTTTAACAAGGGCATTACTGTCTTTTAGTCCCAATTTCTGAATATTCTGAGACTTATATTTATAAATAAGTTTTCTCTATGAGACCTATATATAATTTTTTAAATATTTTTTTGGTATATTTGAAGAAAGGAATGGAATATAATCTTCCATATCTATCTATGTAAAAGTAGAATCGACACGTGTACATTTTGCATAATTTGATGTTGAATTAAAATTTCAATTTTAATTCAATTCTCAAACATAAACGGCAAGGAAGAATAGTAGTGATTCCTCAATTCCTTAGCTGCCTTTCTCACCAAGTAGGTCATATATAGGCTCTCCACCTCACTCACTGATCTATTCATCCGTCTTTCTCAATTAATTGAATGCTCAAAAAATTGTCTCAAAAGTGTAGAGTCAAAAAAATGGGAGACATTCTTGATTGGGTTGATAAAGCAATTACAGGAATGAGCTGTACTAAAATATTTGATCTCACAGATGATTCCCATGAAGGTGATTATGGTCCTTATTGGAAAAATAAAATCAATTTGTGACCTTAATTTTTTACTTTTGTAAAGTGATAAGTACTATTTTAAAAAGTACATTTCAAGTTACAATGACTCATTTTCCACATATTCAATTTTATTGTCAAGCTTATTTAAAAAATAATTTATAAATTTTGGATAAATATTTATAAATAATAATATTTAAATTATCAAATATTAAAATATTTAATATTTTAACAGTATTTATTAAATTATATTTTGACATCATTTTAAGATGCTCAGCACTTCTAAAAAAAATTTCAAGATATTCACAATTTCTTAAAAAAAAGTTTAGGGACAAATTAGTGTTAAATGACATAATCAAAGTCTTATTTGTTATTGTATGTGGATCCCTTTACATATATCATATTAGTAAAAAATGATAAAGTTAATGAATAACTAATAAAAATGGTGATCAAACAAGCTCCTCGTAGACTTTAAAGAAGTACCATGGAATGTGAAAAATAAACAGAATAACACGTTTTATTGATCCATTGGGCTAAGTCTTTTGAGTACAACATTTGGATTCTTATATACAAGACACAGAAGATTCTTACCCCTGGCCCAATACAGGTGACCTAGCCCAATAACCTGATACAACAAACAAGGATCACTCTTTTTTTTTTAATCTCTATATATTGACGGATGAGCTCAGTGTGTTGTGTTGTATGAAGTTTTAAAAGTAAAGTTTGGTATTTATAATTAATAACAATATAACTTGTTATAAATTTTATATTTAAATAGCTGATCGGATGTCCTGAAGGGACTTATATTTGATTATTCTTAATATGTTTTTGTTATCCAAATAAGAATTATGATCTATTATAGTATGTTGGGGGCAAGGATAAATATTAAAAGCTTAAATACAAGAGATAATTCAAAGGATGTTCGTTGTTATAATATTATGAAAAGAAATATGAAAAAACAAGTATACGTCTATACTTAATTGTAAAGCATACCTGAATGAATACGTATTAGAAATCATTTTCCTCCCTTACTACAAAAAAGAAGTGTACATATAATGCCATTTATCAAACATATATGCAAAAAATATTTTATAATGAAAACCAAAAATTAAGAAAACAGTTATTAAACGGTCATATAAAATAATCATTTTATAAATAAATACTAAATGGTTATTTAAGTATTTGTCTCAGTTATACGAGGCGAGGCGTCAGCAGAATATGAAACGGTTTCGGGATGTGGAGGGGGTCATTCGTGACAGCACAGGGAAATTCCTGGTAGGATTTGTACGCTGTATGACCCAAGGGAGATAGCCTGACAGCTAATGGAGCCTTTATTCATCAATGGCAAAAAGGACGAATGGCTCAGATTTTTATAATTATAATTATAATTTTATATTTTATAAAAATAAAAAATTATAAATTTTTTAAACATATAAATCATCTGCGTAGTACTGATTTAATTTAAGTAATTTAATTTAATATTATAATTTTTATAAATTGACCATATATACTTTGGACAATACAAATTCAATATTAATTTTTTAATAAACTTTTTATTTTAATAAATATAAAATTAAAATTAAAAATAAAAACTTTAAATTT